ATACATAGGTGTAAATAAGAAAGTTCCTGTTGGAACAAATGGAGGTCTTCATTATCTGTAAAGGATATAGATTAAACTCACTAAACTGTTTTCTTTCTCAGTGCTTATGATAGAACTGACCAGTGCTATTATTGCCATGATTTATAGGTACACTCCAAAAGCGCTGCCTTTAAGCTCATTCTTCTGACCTAGAATGAACATGCCAGGGAGAAACACTGTGACATACCGTGCAGGTTTGGGTTGAGACAGAGTTGTCTTTCCTTACAGCGGCCAGTGTGGGGCTGTGCTTTGGATTTGTGCTGAGAAGAATGTTGATACACACTAATATTTTAGTTCTTACTGTTTATATTGAGTGAAAGCCTCTCTTAGTTTCTGATACTGCCCCTGTGTTCCTAGCTTCTGCTCTACAAGCAGCTGGGGAGACACAGCTAGGACAGCTGACCCAAACTGGCCAAAGGGGTATTTCATTCCTTAAAATGTCATCCTCAGTATATAAGTTGGAGGGAGTGGGCCAGGGGTCTGGCTCTCCAAGGGCTCTCAGACTCTGGAATGGGATCTCTCTGTGGTCTGGCTCTCACTGTTCAGGGACTGGCTGGGCATTGGTCAGCAGGTGGTGAGTGGTTCTATCATTCATTTTATTTTCCATTATTTTTCACTACTTAGTAGTGGTAGTATTTTCATTACATAGCAGTAGTAATATTAGTGTTATTAGTATTGTTAGTGTTATTAGTGTCATTATGTTATTTCATTTATTTTCAATTATAAAACTTCTTATCTCAACTGACAAGTTCCCTTGTCTTTTCCTCTGATTCTTTTCCTGATCCCACTGGGAAAGGGGGGAGGTGAGCGAGCAGCTGGGTGGTGCTTAGTTGCTGGCTGCAGTTAAACCATGACATACTTATTTTCTGGCCTCAGAAAACTGGAGAAAGAAGGAATCCTCCCTCTATAAATAAAAGGGGATAACTCTGTGTACTGCCTCCTGATATAAGTAAGAAGAGAGTTGTGAGATTAAGGAGTGCCTGCTCTCAATTCCCTTTATTTGAAGCATCTCCAGAGAACAGAAGGAAATCCTTGGAGCACTCTATTCCCTCAGCCATTTCTTTACTACCTGTTACTTTGTTTATGCCAATTGATATATTTTATATAAATTGGTTATTTTCCTTTATGAATTAAAGAAAGCCAGAATGGTTATGAAAAAACTGGACAATTTTTCAGGAATACATTTAAAAATCAAAATACACTTCAGAAGAAAATACATGGACAAAAGATAGCAGCTAAACGTTAGTTCCAGAAAATACAGTTAGCACTGTAATGCAAATAGATCCCTTCCTATGTGTACTTAAACAAAATGATCATGTGTTGAAAGAAAGAATTGCACCTTCCATCGTTCACAACGCCTGACATGTTTATGGCTTTTCAGTGGTAGCAGTGTTGCAATAGTACTGCACTTTAGGCTGCAGCTAGTTTAGATATTGTCATGCTCTCCTGCTAGTGGTCTGATGAACTGTGATACCATACTTAGTGAAACAACTTACATGTAATTCATAAGGCTAAGTAGACAGATACACAACAAAGAATTAATCAAGTTTTGGAATGTGTAACATTTCTACTAAGTAAAGTTGTACTTATGTAAGAAGTGGAAAAAGAGGTGAAAACTTGAGAATTTGTATCATACTATGTTGATTTCTCTGATCTCTTTTAGTGGATGCAGGGGAAACTTTTATCTTCTCTGAACCTCTGCTAATGCATGTTCAATATACAAGTATTTTCATTAACAAAATTTTCTGCAATTCTGTCTTGTCTGAATTTCAAATGGATTGAGACTTGTAAGAAACCACTCCTTAATTGAGATGAACTTGAAAATTAAGCATGTGATTAATTGAAATAAAAGTAGCTATGCAAAACATTAGTGATGGCAGATGTGAAAAAAATTAAATAGCTTTTTAAAGAAAAAATACCAAAATCTGAGGTTTAATTTTAAATCTTATCCCTGAATAAAATTTTGCCACTAAGAGAAAGTGTGGTTTTTATGCCATCAGCAGCAAGCTCGAACCACACTTAATATTAAATCTGGGAAAGGTTGAGTCCATAGTCATAAAAAATACTTTATAAAAGGTGAAGTCTAATACGCTGTGTGGCTTCTCAATACATACAGTGTGTGTTAGCAGAGTGTATTCACTAGTGCAAAAGCAGAACTCAAGTTATTTTGAACATCAACAAAGTTAAAATATTACCCAGAACATGTCTTTCTTTGGGGAAACTTTATCTTCAATAGTACGTAATGATCAGTTTTAATTATAAATACTCTTTAGGAACTCTAAGTAGTCAGCAGAGTTGCAGTTTTAGACTCAACTTAATGTGCGTATGATACCTATTTGAAAATATTCCAGTGTATATCTTCAGAAGCAAATACTCTGCATTCACATTCATATGCTGGCACACTGACCTGGACTTCCACTCACCAATCGTCACGACTGACAACTGCTATATGACTATATATAGCAGTCTCAATATGCTTGAGGGATGGGTCTTAGGAGTTTTCAGATCAGTTTGAAAGTTTGCAGTTTTAAAAGTTTACCCAGTCACAGAATAAAAATGGTTGTTTGGACAGTTCACGTGTTGGGAGGTTTAAAAAGGTTACATGTGTCATGTCCAATAGACCAAGTTTAGCCTTTTTAGCATAGGTGTGATTTTCTTAGTTTTGTTTTCTGGAATTTCCCTGGTTTAAGTCTGTTGGAATCAATTGAGATGAATCATCACTCTGTTCTGAAATGGTGATGACTAAAAGAACAGAACTTTGGGAAATCTGGAGGGGTTTTACTTTCTAGATGTTGCACCTGAGAAAATGTTGAAGAACCTTTATTGTGAGGCAAGAGTTTTTACTTCGTTTATGTTCCAGCTGGTTAAAAAATACAGTTTATCTGCTGTGAAGGAATTGCATCCCATTTGTGGGAACACATGGATCACCATATTTCATTTATGTCTAATATCATACTTCTGAGATACATACTGTACCACAAAGCTCTAGAGGAAAGTAATATTTATTTTTCAAATTATCTATGTGAAATGGAAAAAGCTTGAGTTTTCTTAGTACATGATGTTATAATGGTTGCTGAGACTTTTGGTTGGATGCTTGTAAGATTAATAATATTCATGTTCCTAAGCTTTTTATCTGCACTTTACTATTTCAAATACAGTTTAGGGCTGCTATGTAGCGACTAAACATTTTTCACAGAATGATAGACATTTGTTTGTTTCAGGCCATTTCCTTGCAGGCAAACTGTAAACCATTGCAAACAGCACTAAATTGCACTCCCTTGTGAACAAGCAAGTATGCCAGGAGAACCAGGAAAAGGTGGGACTCTGGCTTATACTGATAAGGAGAAGATTGAAATTAGCCACATGGGGTACCGATGATAGCTAGTACATTCTGAGTTCTGTTACTGTAATGTCTGCCTACAAATCTTGGTAAACACTTAGGAAATGAACGATTTTGCTTTTGAGGTGATACAGAAACACTCTTTGGTACATCCTGTAGCCTAGGCTCCAAAACCATCCAGCCTGGGGTACATCCTGGAAAGCACAACGTGGATCAGAATGTATATTCAGATAGTCTATTGAAAATTTATGCTGCACGAAACATGTCATCAGTCAGGATTTAATGCCTAAGTCGAGTAAGAATGTTGTCACTGGCTGATGTTTGAGAGTCGAATGGTTCCATAAGCACCTTCCTCGAGACAGATTCGGTGCTTCTCAGGAGCTCAGATGGTACTTGTCCCATGTGCTTAAAGGGGCTTGCCTGTAGGCATGCCCACAGCAGGCCCACCAAGCTCGCAGATGGCTGCTTTTTCTGAGTTAGGGGTAACAGGGCGGGACATATCGGAAACCATGGTTTTATTCCTTTCTGTCTGGGACTGAAAGAATCAAGCAGATCATGCCTGGCAGAAAGACTGTAGCCTTTTAGCTAGGTCTGAGTTCACGCTGAGCATGCTTCTCCTCCTGGCCACGCAAAGCTCACGCTCGTTTCTGCAGAATGTATGGAACGCACCTAGTTAAACCTATAGCCTGACCCTTAGGTCACACTTTAGGGAGGTAGGTTATGTTAGTTGGAAAGATCACTGTGCTGCCTGCCAGAGACACCAAATATACAAAAGAAAAGCACAGCCTGACTTGTAAAACAAAAAAGCATTCCTTCACTCTGTGTTTAAGAGGAAAGTTATAGTTATGTCCTTGCAAAGTAAGTCTTAGAGCTATGAATTATTCAAAGGAAGAAAAGCACTGGCTTTGAGTCCTGAGTGTGTTGCTTGAGGTTCATCAAAGAGAGCTGTTTATAATATGTGTCTGTTGTCAGAATTATTTTTGGCAATAAAGTTCTGTTTGCTCAGTGTGCAGATTGCCGTTTTAAAGGCATCTAACTCCCCCTGTTCCCACATGACTGACACAGGGTATGGATTTTGGTGGAGAGAATCTGTCATTTCACTGCTTAACAATGGCATACCTACATTTCTCCTTAGATGCATCCTAAACCCTTTATTTCTTGGCATGCTTTTATATGGATGATTCTGGATATATGGACTTTAGGTGGATCTTGGTGCTCCACTTACTGCCTTTTATCTGAGTCTGCTGGACCTGTAATTGGGATGATCTGGTTCCCTGAATATGCTAACAGCATGTATCAATGCTAGATGCATTTCTAGATGGAGATTCTGTAAGAAATAGATGCATGTTTCCTATATATATGAGCTGGCACGTAAATAACATGTCCAGGTACTTCCAAGTAATTAGTCATTCAAATGAGAAGTCTGCATATGCATTTGAAGAAAATAGAGTCCTGCAATGTCTTTTCACATTGTATATGCTATCAGTGGTTTATTTTACATTTACTTTTAAGAATGTTTTTTCTGAGATACCTGTCATTCAACACAGAAAGGCAAGAAGATCAAGTAGGTCAAAGATTCTACAGGTTTTCTTCTGTGTCTGAAATTTATTTCTCTTAACAGGTGATTTGTATATTGGAGGAGTGGCCAAAGAAATGTTTAAGTCCTTGCCAAAACTGGTGCATGCAAAAGAGGGATTCCAAGGCTGTCTTGCATCAGTTGACTTGAATGGACGCCTCCCTGATCTAATCTCAGACGCTCTCTTCTGCAATGGGCAAATAGAAAGAGGATGTGAAGGTATTAAATACGCTGATAGTTTTTTATATCATATTGAAAGTATTGTACAAATCCTGCAGTTTTGTTAATATGTGCATTGCATACATGGATACACTATATTTTACCTGTTTCTAATCTATCTTGTTTGTCCCTTTCTTACATAATGACTGCATATTTTTCGGTATTCTGGGGACAAGTGTGTACCTGCCCTACAGCCCAGAGATTGATCTAAGAACATGAGTCATCTTCTTAAATGTTTAGTGTAGGTTCCATCCTTCTCCAGTGGCAAAGCTATTTTGTGTGTATTTTGTTTACTTCTGATGTATTTTAATTATGATAGAAACAATAACAATTAGCTTCAATGAAATCCTTTGTATCTTCATAACACTTAAGCATTAGCTAATGCTGAGGCATTAGCTAATTAATTCCATTTTAAAGCAGACATTTTGAGTTGATTAATTCAAGGCTAATTTATGAAACTGTTTAAGATCAATCTTCCATCTTCTCTATTTTTGCTCACCCCTGAGATTTTTATTGTCATAAGCCTTCCTATCTGAAATCAGTAAAAGCCAAATATGTTTTATCTCACTTTTTTTAATGTCTTTATTGACTCATCTGGAATGTCATGGAATTTAAGTGCGGACAGAATTAGAAGAGGTGTATTTGTAATTCAGGGGTGTCGATCTCTAGCTGTTTTTTCAGCTGTCATTTAATCCCACATTATTTTTACTGTGATTTATGGAATAATTTAAATCAAGTCTCTGTCCCTGCATATATATTTCATTCACAGAATTCTGACTTTTGTGGCTATGTTAAATTTTATCTATTCTCCTCTCAAGTATCATTCCTCTCTGGACAGAAAACTGTAAATGACACTGTAGAATTTCAAGTGGGAATCTTGACGATTTTGATATCAAGTTTCTTAAGTTTGCAAATAGACATTGTAAAAAAATCAAAGCAAAGCAGAGGGATTTCCCCAAGCTTCACGAGAGAAAGCTTTCTGGTGGATAGGTTATGTCTTCCCTTTTGTGGTACCTACAGTATGTTTGTATAGGTGGAAGTATTTTGTTCTTTACCTTGTACATTTTGTTAACAGTATAAATTCTATTGATAGCACGTAGAAATATGTAAAATTTACAACTTTTTTTTCCTGTAGTTTTAGTGTCTATTTCTATCAGGAATGGAAAAATATGTATAATTAGTTTGTCACTGAGTTTAGAAAATTAGATTCTGTTTCCTGAATGACGTTAGCAATTTCCATGCCTGCACCGTCCCTTCAGAGAGTCACAGTATGCCTTAATTCCATTATGCATTTCATAGCTTCTTTTGAAATTATGTAATTTTCTAAATGAATTTTATGTACTTCAAAGAAATATTGCCACAGGCCCAGAGTGCGAGCTCACCTTTTAAACCAGTGGCACAACTCAGCTATCAGGGAGTTTAATAAAGCTACCAACAATTTAATAAAGGCCATACAGATATTGTCCTTTTTGGTGGAGAGTCACCTTTTTCCAACAGCAAAATCATCTGACACAAGCAAAATGGTCAAGCCAGTTGTGCTGCCTGGCTCCCAGAGAACTGCCTCAACAAGTCTTTTGCCAACAAAAGGAAATCTTTCCCAGCATGGAATTAAATATTCCCTTCCAAACTTTCTGCTTAACCCTTGCAAGTTAACTCTTCCATCTTGCTTGTTTACTTCAAGACTTTGTTTGACCTGTCAGTCTCTTTTTTTTGCAGACCATGGATCAGATATACAAAAAAATGGCCTGATACCTAAAATATTGATTAAGTCACTTTCAAATTTAGCTGCCTCCTTGAAGTATCTTGTATGCCTGAAGCTGTCCACAGCTCTGCTGCTATGTACAGACAGGACTGTCTCCATCCTCACAGGTCTGAACAGCTTTGCATCTGTCTCACATTGCAGTGGGATGCGTAAGCGCTGTAAGTCCCCTGAGATGTCGAGTCGAAAGAGCTCAGAACACAGCAGCAGGAGTACTTTCAAAACAATGAGTTTTAGTCATGGCCACTGTCAGTCCAAAAGCTGCCTGTACTGGTGTGTATATGTCCTTTGTTAAGACATCAGCCTGCTGCAAAATCTTTCCTGAAAAGTGAGACACTTTGATTTGATGTTCTTCAGACTCTTATGGGATTGAATTCCCTACTTTTGTCATATAAAACCCCCACCCACCCTGGGATGAAAACTCCTTTCTGCTCTCAAGCTGTGAAGCCATGATGGGCCACTATTAATTTTATCTGTTAGGATTTTGTTCTTAACAGGCTAATATTTCTCAATAACTTTACTGTCCTAAGGGCATGTTAAAAATTTCTTCTTTGGAACTTTTTTTGCAAACCCACAATAGGAACGGTGTGGCAAGGTGTAAAGCTTGCATTTCAAAGTTTCAGCCACAGGCAGATAGATATCTCTGTTCTCTATCACTGAGCACTGAATATACTTTACACTTGGCTGAATCCACCTTGTTGACAAATTTTCAATGGCTAGAACAGCTAGAAACATAAATATGCTAACTAGCTCTTTGAATTGATAACAGCAAACCCCAAGGGCCAGGTTGTAAGTGTCAGCCCTGTTTTTCTCTATTCAAATCCATTGTACTTTCTTTACACACTTTAAATAAAGCAGAATTATAGTAATTACAGACTGATAAAAGAATACTTCTAATATATTTTGGAGGAAAATGCACTATGTGCATACATGTGCATGTATAATATAATTTCTGTAGAAAAAAATTAACGCTATGAACATAAAGTTTCAATGTATTAACATACGTGAATATTCTTGATGGTGATTTGGAATTAGTTTTTGCAATATATAGTTGTGCTAGTTGGGATAGAGTTAATTTTTCCTCACAGTAGATATTATGAGGCTGTGTTTTGGTTGTACTGAGGAGAATACTGAACATTGTACATGCTACTTAATAATGCTTTTTGTGTAATATATAGCATGTAAGCCCTCACATAAGACAAATGTAAATGAGAGACCAAATTCCGTCAATTAAAACCTCTGCAGTGAAGACTGAATAAATTATAATATTTAAGTAGAATGTGAATCAAAAGATGAGTGCTGGAGCAGAGTGTATTACAATATTTATACTAAATAGCTTAGCTCTGCAATATAGGAATGTATGAATCTGTAATAGTATATATTATATTATTTACAATCTTCAAAAAGTTCTACTTTGTCCTTTAAAAAAAAAAAGCCTAGTTTTATTAAAAGAAATTCTTACATGTAAGCTAGTCTTGATGTCAATTTTTTAAATAATAACTACCATATAAACACAAAGTGCTAAGAATCAATTATATAGAAAGCAAAATATTCTGCTATTTAACAAGACCCTATTGGTATTTTTTTCCAGATATGTGGTTTAAAATGCACCTTTTAATGTGTCGTTTAATGTGATCTTTTAAGCAGCCTAAACCACTCCCTTCTTTTGCAACACCTACAGGGTCCTGCAGTTTATGTACTTTCAAATCCTTGTGACTTTTGCTCTACTTTTGCAAAGATGAGGAAATTTACCATTGCATAACTAAAGTGTAAATAAATGCATGAATATATAACATTTAAACACCTACAGATATTTTCACTTCATCTTTGTAAAGTTTCTGAGTAACAGAATCTGGTGAGAAAAAAATGTGTCTTGTCTTGTCAGCTATGGGATTCTGTCATTATAATCCCCAGCTCAAGAAAGGGTGATGTAATGCCCAAACGTGTAAACTTCTGGGCTCAAAACTCCAAGGAAAAGGAAATCACTATCCTGTGTCTGCCTGCTGCAGTCAGTTAGTTGTGGGTGGTATTATATTGATAATGATAAATAAAAATTAAAAATAAAAGAACAGAGAAAATGGAACAAGTTTTGCCCAAACCAGGGATGCAGTGTACTTGCTCTCACTCTTAATCACACCAGTGACTGTTGAGTCCCTGGTTCAGAGGTGTGCCCGAGCAGTGCTTCATTTAAAGCAAGTGGCCTAGATTAAATCATATTGGTATTGATTTTTCCAAAATACGGGCAAATCAAGAGAAAAATCCCACAATGAGATTTTCGAAGGACCTGTAATGTGAAAGAAGGGTTAAGTGGATTTCTCTCTACAGGATGATTTGGTATATTTATATAATCCTTGGACCACTTTTGTCCTGTCATCAATGACTTGCAGTGGGAGTTTCAAATGGTATTGATGTGTCTGCTCCAAAACAACTTAGGAGAATTTTATAGTCCCAGAACCAGATTTTACCTTGTAGTGTCAAGAGTCAGTGTGAAATGTGTATGTGAGCTCACAGCAATCTGTAGTTCACGGTCTGAATTTCAGTCTCTGTTCACATAGAAAGGACTAGAAAAGAGTAAGACCAGAGAGGATGATGGTGCTAATTATTCTTGAATTCAGTGTATCTGAACATGACAAATGGCTAGTCAGGATTCAGCCATGCATTTACTGTGCTAATGCATTCATATCTATCCAAGAAAAAAAAAAATTAATTTTCCTTCATTACATGTCATCAGCTCAATTAACCATTATATTTGTAGTAAAATACTGGCAAATTACTGCTTTCTTATTTTGGTTTGCCTGAAGATTTATGGCTATTAGCATTAATTTGTTTGCATTATATGGCATTTCTTTCTCTCTTTAACAGCAGCATGCACTTTACTCTGAATGGTTTTTTTCTGTGTTTGCTGCCATTTCAATATTGCTTACTAACATTTAATATATTTTGCTTTTTTATTTTGCTGACAAAGTTGCATTGATGAAAGCTGATTTGCAAGGTAGATAGCCCTGTGTGTATTAAACAAGACTGAAACCCCCAATGCACAGTTGTCTTTCTGCAATAAATGCTCTGTATATTTCAGAACTAAAATGTGTTATTTTATTTTAGATTTTGTGATTCACACCTCTAAAACAATTGGTTACATGAACCTTCATTTTTCAGCATAGCTTGCATAAAGGCTTTCAGTCTTGAATATGTTTGTATAGTGATTGCTTTAGTGCTTTGATCATTCCTTTTCAAATTTCTTTATATTTCAGTAGTCTAGTTATGATTCTCTAGAAGTAGAGTAGCTTTGTTTTTCACGCGTATGTCACATTTTGGCATGCCAGTTCATTAGTAGTCTGATTTTCTGCATTTCCCCTTAAAAAAGGAACCTGCATGGGATCCCTGAAGCATGTGAATCAGTACTTGCCATCATTCCTGCCAAAAAATCCCAAACTCCTCTTAATTTCAGACCTAAATAATTTCAAATAATTTGTGGGATTAAAAGCACTGCATAACGTAGCTTCATTTCATTAGTTTTTAAAATTTTGTTTTGTTTTTAATTTTTCATCTCCCAGAGCTTTGCTTTCTGTGGCATCTGGCTTTGCTGTTTGGATTGTATTTACAGGAAAAAATAATACTGAAATTTTAGAAAACATTTAGCCAGTTAATGGTTTGACATGAGATAACAAATAACTTGCAACAAAGTTAACATTCCCACTGTACCTGGAATAACTCGGCTTCAGTCTGTGCATTCTTACGTGTTTGTCATATCAATCTTAAAACTAAAGAAAAACACCCTTTTAATATTACATGCTGCTGCAAAATCGGCAAGTTTATGTGTGTTTTACTTGGTAACTACTTGCTCATTTGATTTGAGACTTTGGCAACTAGCTAATGTGATCCAGTGAGAAATCCCTTGCTTTGGAAGACAAAGTGCAAGTCCTTTTTTGTGTGTTCTCATCAGGCCCAAGCACAACGTGCCAGGAGGATTCGTGCGCAAACCAGGGAGTGTGCTTACAGCAGTGGGATGGATTCAGTTGTGACTGTAGTATGACCTCCTTCAGTGGACCATTATGCAATGACCGTAAGTACTCTAAAAGGTGCTGATCTGAATGCTCGAGAGCCTTAAAGCAGTATTCGAAGCAAGTGTCTGAAGCTTTAGATTATTTTAATGTTAGGTATTTAACTGGCAAACCCTGTGAAAGTCTGTAAGGTTTGTGGGAAGAACATAGCTAAAATATGCACTATAAATTTTGGATGTCATGCAGTATCAAACACTGACAGAATTTGTTTTTATACACTTGATTGCCTGTCTAATATACTGTTGGTTATCTGTTGGAAATAATCCCATTTTTGCATACGTGTTACAAATAGGAGTGTTTTTTCCTGTTTGGAAAAACCTTTTGCATTTTATTATCTTAAGCTATATTGTAATTTTGTAGCATTATATCATGAGGGCTATAATTACTGTGAAACAGTTGACAAGGCTCATTATCTCTCTTTGTAGATTTCTTTAGGTGACACACTAAGTATGCCAATAATAAAAGCATGCCGAGTATTTTAGTTCTTTTAAATTTCGTCTGAATAAAACTACATAACGTACACCAACCATCTGGTCTTTCAGGAAAGGCTTAAATGTGTCAGAAATAAGGGGCCTGATTCACCAATATCATAATTATATTTATTCCAATCTAGCCTTATTGATCTCAATAGAATTATGCAGAAGTGAAAGTGGAATAGTAATGCAAGAGTCATAATGATCCACAGTAACTGATTAAAGCAAGCTACTGAGTTCTCTTTTTAACTCATCACATTTGAAATATCCAAATGTTGCACATTTTTATATCCATGTGAAGAGGCTATTTCTTTAAGGCTAAGCATTTTTGTTTCTATTGGTGTACCTTTATCTGAATGAATGACTGATGGCAGGAAGCGATGGTATAACTGTCTAGCCAAGCAGTTTGAATTTTTATGTCTTGTTACTGTTCTCCGCTCTATAGCACGATGTACCTTCTTGGACAAATCCTAAAATAACAAAATAATAATATTCTGAAAAAAAACTTTGGCTCAAATTGTATCTAGCACAGGACTAGAAAATGAACTCTATGTAAAAACTACTTTATTTACTCTTCTGAAAGTTCTACTTTTCTACTCTTGAACATGCTTGAAAATTATGGAAAGGACTCGCCTCAGTCTGTTTCTCCTCATCTGCTGTCATGGGAAAAATGAAATTCAGTATCAAAAACCTCTTGATAATCTGAGCAAAAGTTTAGCTTTACTTTATGTATATGAGTTTGCCCTACCTAACAATATAAGTGATTAGTCATACTGCTAAACACATATTTTTAACTACTTCAGTCCTCTGTCTTCTATGGGAGAAAATTATTTGTTTCTATTTTACTTTTAAGATGTTAATTCTGCTCTACCATGATCTTTGTGTTCTTCCAAAAGTAACTAAAAACTATGAATAAGAAGTTATATATTCCACAGCTAGCAAAGAAAAAACCCTGTTGTCTTAGTAGAAACTGTCTAGACCTGGAATATTCTATGAATTGTTTCTTCAAGTGACAGCTGTTGCATAAATTTGGTGAACAGATGAATTTACATAAGAAAGGTATTTACCGATTTGTGAATGGTCATTCGTATGGTAACATTGTGAACTATATTGCATACAATCAGATAATTATCCGTATACTATTTTTGATGATGATAAAGGAGTACCTTTAGTATATGTCTGCCAAAAATATTTACTCTTTTCCCTAGATAAATTTTTTTCTTTTTAATGTTCTTCTATCACAAACATGAAATATAAATTTATCACAGATAGGGATGTTTAGTAATAGAATGCAGAGTCTGGTAAATGTAATACATTTGGTTTCTGCTTTATCTTGGCTGCTCAGATTAGTTCTGATACCAAAAACCTGCAAAGCAATTCTAACGAGAGATTTTTTTATAATGGTATATGTGAGGGAAAGGAGGAGCAATGATGTTGTAATCTCAGTGTCATCAAGGTGCTCCTAAACTGTGCTCTTCTGTGTTTGGGAAGAGCATAAGGGAAAGCGGAATGATGAAATGTTACTACAGTTTTTTAGTAACTTGCATAGGCTGCACACCACAGTCTAGACCTTTGCAGCACTGAAGTAAGACAAATTCCCTTCACAGGAGGAAAGATTATCTCAGCAACAGGTCTGGTTGGTGAAAATCACATGCCCTTCAGAAGGATGCAAGCATGTTCCTGAGTGGTTTGTGTGAGCACGTTTGCATTGCAGATGGAGCATGGACCTTCATCAGCTTCTGGTTGACAGAAGCTGAAATCTAAACCAGTATTGCTACAGAGACAGGCCCTTGGCTTACTTTGCATTTGAATGTACTGTTTTATGTAAACTGGAGTACTCAGGACATCAGAACCTCATAGGTAGAGACTTCTGGTTGTCAAACCCAAAAATTGACCACTTAGAAATGTCAGTGTTCATAAGAGAAACAGTTAAAAGTATCAGTTTTATGGAGACTTGCATCCCTCCTGTTTTGGGTGTCCATGTGCAGGTGTTGGCAGTGGGGGGGGCTGCAGGGTGGGCTCCATGAGGAGAGGCAGGGACTGCCCCATGCCAGGCACAGCCAGCTCCAACACACCCACCACAGGGCACAGCTGAGTCGCTCAGCCAAGCTGGTGGCATCCCTACGAAAAGTATGCCGTTCTTACCAAAACGCTGCACTGATGGAGGAGGGAACAAAACGAGTGAGATCAGTGGAGGGAGCTCCAAGGTCAGAGCAGAGGGAGTGGGGGAGCAGCTGGGTAGGATTTTGGCACTCAGCCAGGATTAACTCATGACTCCTTATTTTGTTCCACCACTTTTAGGAAATATATTTGAATAGAAATTTCAGAGTGACAAAAATGGCTGAGGTGAGACAGGACCCTCAGAGACTGTCTAGTCCAACCCCTCTTCTCAGAGCAGGGTCAGCTAGTACAGGTTGACAGGGCTGTGTCCAGTTTTCATTTGAATGTCTCCAAGGTTGGAGACTCCATAGCCTCTCTAGGCAGCCTGCGCCAGTGTTCAGTCACCCCCACAGTACAAACATGTTCCTTATATTTAAAGGGTATTTCATGTATTTCAGTTTGTGCTTGTTGCTTCTTGTCCTGACACTTAGTACCACTGGGAAGAATCTGGCTCTGTCTTCTTTACTCCCACCCATCAGGTGTTTTAAAACATGGACATGATCCCCACCAAGCCTTCTCTTCTCTAGGCTGAACAGTCCCTGCTCCCTCAGCTTCTCTTCATACAAGAGATGCTTCAAACCCTTAATCGCCTTTGTGGTCCTTTGCTGGACTCCACTATGCTCAGGTTGCACTTGCACTGGGGAGTCCAGCACTAGGAGACGGTGCTCCAGATGCATCCCAGTATTGCTGCATAGAGGGGAAGGGTCATGTCTCTCAACCTTTCTGTGGTGGTTTTTCTAATGCAGCCAATTTGGCTGTTGGCCACCTTTACCACTGACTTCTGTGCAACTTGGTGTCTACCAGGACACCCAGATACTTTTCTGCAAAGCTGCTTTCCAGCTGGTGAGCCCCAAGCCTGTCCTCGTGAACAGGGTTAATCCTCCCCAGGGGTGGTTATTCCTCCCCAGGTGCAGGATTTGGCATTTTCCTTTCTTTTACTATTTTCTTGTCAGCCCGCTTCTCCAGCTTGTCAGTATCCCTCTGAATGGCAGCACACTCATCTGGTCTATCAACCACTCCTCCCAGTTTTGTATCATCTGCAATTTGCATTGATGTGCACAAATTACCTTGCCGCATTTGAGTTGATACTTTCAGCGTGATTCCCATAGTAACCTCAGCGCACGAAGATTTGACATGCGTTGTCTAGGCTTTACAGTGTGAATGTTTTCTTGTGTATCATTCTTGTCTTTAAAAAAAAAAAGTGTGTTTGGAGGAAATAATGAAAGAAATAGTTTCTTGAAAAGTGTTATAATACATTCTACTAATACAGTGTGCAAGAAGCTTCTTTAATCTTTTCTATAACAGCAAATTATTACTCCTGTGCTCTTTGGTATATTATTCCAGGTGAAGTGTGCACAGCTTAGAGTGAAGATTTTTTAAGTTATGTCAAAATAAGTACTATGTGGGGCAGATTGGTTCTTTCCCAGTTCAAGAGTGTCCTTTGTACGTCAGCTAGAGAGATGGAGAAGCTGAGGGAGTGTATTCCAGTGGAAAATGACCTGGGTCAGCCAAGGGTAAGGCTGCAGTTTTACATCTGTAGTTAGGAACACCCAGAGTTTAATCCACAAAAGTTTTGCTTAGTTTCAAATCTCAGTATTCTGCTACAGTGAGTATGGAGTGCCATAAGCCTCCATGGTGGCACAGGTAGAAACATTGACAGTCCTGCAGTTTCCTATTTACTGGAAGATAAACAAGGCAGGGGAAGTTTTGGCCCCAAGATACTATACAGATTATCATTTTCTCTTTTGATGTGATATGACACTTGGAGATTCAGCGCAACAATGCTCTTTAAATGTGATAGACAGAAGTGTTACACTGATAAGTGTAAAGCAGACCAGTAGCAGTCGTTCCTACAAAATGGGATTACATAGAAGACTGTACTAAAAGGACAGTTAATGGCTGTTCTTAGAAATGGATGACTGCATGCAACTCCTCTGAGAAAACACATCATGAACATCGTAACTATTTTTAACAGCAGGTTATGTAGTGAAAGCTATCTTACCAGGGAATTCAGCTTTTTTATAAGAGTAGGGTTGAAAATTACTCTGGCACAACAAAACAAAACAAATCTATAAGAGATTATTTGCTTTCTATAAGTTTACGGCCATTTTTACTCGAGGAGTCTTTAAGTATAGCCATATTAGTGAATGTAATGGCATGTTTGTGGAAACAAATACTGCTATTATGGCATAGGAAATAGCAGACATAATAACATTGTCACATTACATTAGTATAGAAATGTTCTGTGCCAAATTACAGGGCAGCTTCAACACTGTCTGTTACCATAAGGGAATAATGTATTGGCGTTGTACTTGTGATGGTAGAGCTAGCACTGTGTCAACACTTCCATTAAAATCCATTTCTGAAGGGTTAGAACTTCACCACACAGTCTCTTCTGACTAGGAATATGACATTGTCAACCACTGTGAGTAACAAAACTTTTTTAAAATTTCTCCTATTTTATTTTGATTCTTTACCAAGAAAAATCAAAATCCCTCACTACGAAATGGCCTCAAGTTGCACCAGCAGAGGTTTAGATTGGATATTAGGAAAAATTCTTCACTTCAAGGGGTGTCAGGCATTGGAACAGGCTGCCCACGGAAGTGGTTGAGTCACCATCCCTGGAGGGATTTAAGAGATGTTTGGACAAGGTGCTGAAGGACATGGTTCAGTGGTGGTATTAGCAGTGGTTAAAAGCTTGTCTGGATGATCTCAGAGGTCTTTTCCAACCTAAAAGATTCTATGTTTCTATGAAATGGAGAACTGTGTCAATATTACAAAATGGGTTCAAGTAAAGCATGTTTGATTATCTTGATATTTGATGGCACTATAGAGAATACTGCTTTTCAGCTAAGACCGTATCTGTAGTGATGGTTAGATTTTATTTTAAATGTGTTTGGATGTTAATATAATAATTGTAATAATTTTTATTATGATTTAATTGGAGATTGGACAAGGAGTCCAAGGAAAGCCTGCTAGGAAAAGGTGGAAACCACCTGCCAAGGTGGGGTAAAAGCATCTTTGCCACAAACTGGCCAACCTGGAGTGGAGCCAGGGCTAGGAATGGTGGGGAATGGAGATGACAACTCACAAGAAAGTGAGGAAATAGCGGACTGAGTGTTATGGGAAGAGGTGGAGGTCTGCCCAGGGACAAGTGATGAGCCAGCTGAGAGCTTATGTATTGGGTTAGAGGGCAGACCAGTGTGTAATAGGATGTGATGGGTGTCTGCTACAAACTGCCTAATAAGGCAGAAGAAATAGATAAGGCCTTCTTTCAAACAAGGTGAAGAAAGCTCATGTGCACAGACCTAGTC